TTAATTCGAAAATAATATAATAATGTTGTGTAGTCTATAATACTATAGACACAGCCAGTTTTACTCATTAAAATATTTATTCATGATAAAATAATAACTTTATAATTGTATACGAGTCTTACACACATGCTGTTCAGTTAATCTGAGCCGTGCATTAATTTGAGTGATGACAGATATTATATATATATTATATTAATTAAATGAATTGATAATTACAGTATTGAAATAAAAATGTAAAGCCTGTACAAATAGAAATTGTGAATATAAATAATTGTGAATTTTAATATAATATAAACAGTGCACATTTCATTTATCTGTCATAATAACATTTATGTAGTTTTGTTCACTTGGCTGTTTCCAGAAATGTGTCAAGTTTTTTCGTCAGGTGTCTTTTTTAATTATAAGATGTCATTACGTTGCTGTCTTGCCGCAGCCAATCGCTGCACTGCTGATCGTGGTTTCGAGTTTCGATACATAGCCCCTTTTAAACCAACCCATGAACGCGCAATTATCTCAGATAACTCAATCCAGCCATACTATTCATCAACAACAGGTGCTTTCGAAGAACTGAATTAGCCAGATCCTGATTAGCGCGATGATATATTGAATATTGAACGCCTTTATTGTCATTGTATTTTTCTGTATACAACGAAATTAGGAGCACTACTCCTGACTGGTGTTAGAAAAACAAACATATAACCACAGACAATAAATACTATAAGACTGTACAGTACAATTTTACAAGTAAATACAACAAGTGACTGAGTCCTGATATTCACATTGAGCAATCCGAGTAAAGTGACCATTTATAGTATTGCACGTTGGCCTTCACCTTGATATGCACAGTAAGTTTATACAAAAGTACAATTTAAAAAGGAATGATTAACTGTGGTGATTTAGTGACTAGAGATAGTATTTCACATTGACATATAGTGTATATTATTGCACATATATTATTGCACATATATTATTGCACATATATTATTGCACATATATTATTGCACATATATTATTGCACATATATTATTGCACATATATTATTGCACATATATTATTGCACATATATTATTGCACATATATTATTGCACATATATTATTGCACATATATTATTGCACATATATTATTGCACATATATTATTGCACCTTTACTGCAGATATAGTGTTCACATTTAGTAACCAGATGTGGTATTTCACCCTGACATACTACATAGTGCATTGTTTGAAGTTCTGATAAATAAAGTGTTCAGACAGTGGTATTGCAGATTGACATACTGTACAATATTCAATATTGTATATTGCATGTTGTATAGCAGCAGTATAGACAGAAGAGATTTGAATGAAATAAGTGACTGTAGTTAAAAGAATAACGTGGTTGGAATAGTATTTTAACATTAGTGCATTTATGAGTTTAAAGTCCTGATAGCAATTGGGAAGAAACTGTTCTGTAAGTGAGGGGTTTTTGCTCTTAAGGATTTGTAACGCCTGCCTGAGGGCAGAAGATTAAACAGGTGGTGTCCTGGATGGGATGTGTCCTTGATGATGTTTTTGGCCCTTGAGAGATAATGGGAGCGAGCAATGCTTTCCAGGGAGGGTAGTGAGCAGCCAGTGATTTTTGGGCTGTGTTGATTATTATTTGGAGGGCTTTCTTAAAGAAGTGTTTCTTTAAACATGAAAAAAAAAATCTTACCTCAAATTAAGGTTGCACCTAACAGGTTTAAAATGTGATTTTTGCACAAATATTGTGTCCTTAATGAGTAAGCGGATCGTTGATGTTGTTGCATGAGCATTTTATAACACACATGCAATGTGGTAACATCCTTATAAATGAACTAGACCCATTTAGACCAGTATTCAGTGCAGTCCACTTGTGATCAGTTCACCCAAATTAGATGTTAATAGCGGGAGTAAACGGCATCTTTGTGAAAGCACATGGAAATCTCCCAAAAACTCAGCAGGTGAAGGTTCATCATGGCTGTGGACTCGGAGTTTGCTTGTTTTAATCTTACCTCATCAAATTCCTCCCCAAACCCGACAGGCTTTGAGATTGCGTCTGAAATTTCTTGCGCCAGCTCCTGCTGTTCTGTGATGTCCTGCATGAGTTCATCCACTTTGTCGATGTCCCTGAAAGTACAAATTTAGATATATCCTATATCAAAGTGCCATACAGAATCCTAATAGCTTGCACTGGTAAACTAATCTTGTTTAAGATCTCATAAACCCAAAACCTTGCCCTAGTGAGGCTGATACAAAAAGGGAAGAAAACACTGATAATAGAAGAGAAGCTCCTCACATGTTGTCATGGGCAGCTTTCATGGCCTTAGCAGCAAAGCCCATATTCTTGATGACCTCGGTGTTGGTGTGAGCGTTCTCTAGCGCCTCACGCTGGAACTCGATGGTAGAAAGAGTGCCATCAATCTGAGCTAACTGCTTCTCATAGCGCTTCTTACGCTTCAGTGCCTGCAATGCAGCTGTTTCAAACAGAAAGAAAGGTAAAGCCATTAAAGTGCAAAATAAGAGAATTTTGGAACCCTATAGAAAAGTATTGCATAGTATTAAGTGTGGTTTTATTTAAAAGAGTTAAAGAGAACACTATGTAATAATTATGGGTCAATTGGTTTAATTTGAAGCCCCTTTTATTTCAATTAAGATTTAGCACAGTAAGCGTCATGCATTATAA